AACATTTCTGGGATTAGTGCAAACGTGGCTTGATTAACGTCTAAATTACGTATCCTGATTAAACCGCGCAGATGAATAGTTGTATACGAGAAGTTTAATTATCAGGGCTTGAGTGGAAGATTTTGAGCTGATTTTATTCTTCAAAGCTCAGCAGTAATCCTTTCTTCAAGTATTTTGTACGTTCCTAGAAGTTTAGTATTTTCTTTTTAGCACACAGTTCACCATAAAGAAACAGTAACATTCTAAAACTAGTCTAGTGCGAGGCTTCGAGCCACCTTCAACTAGCACCTTAACAAACGGAAGATTCTTGCTATATCAAAATATGTATGCTTCGTGTACCACAGTAAACAAAAAAGGAGCTTGAATAGAATTGTTACTTTACCGTTACTTTTACTAAGAACAGTAAATGATTTATTTACATTTGCTTTAGTAAATGATACATGATACGTCAAACATTTACCATTCATTTGGAAAATACTAAATGGTTTATTTACTTTATTAAAGAGAATTAATGAAAAACCTATAACATCTCTAAATTTATTTAAGCTAAAAGGGCCCAAGTGATCAAATAAACGTTGCTAACAAGAAGATAAAGTCAAAAAACTAAAAATGTTGAAGGAAAAACTGGCAAAAGTAAAGTACAGTGAGTGCATTCATTCACTATTTTTCACGTAAATGGTAATATTTGATGTGTCATTTATCATTTTCTAAAGTAAATGTTTGATATCACAAATCTCTGAATGGTATTGTTTGAAGAGAACACTTACAGTTACTTTTTCTCTTAAACATGAAAACAAAAATAAATATTCGGTTCTATGTAGTTTTATCTGACATGTAAAACCGCTCACTGTAACGTCTATTTAATAGAAAAATGTGAAAATACTAAGTGCTACGATCTATCGTTGAAGACCCGATAATCTGAAAAGAAAAAAGCGGTAATCCATCCTTCGAAAGCATAAATAGCGATACATAAGAGAAATCTGGTAGCGGCTAATTAATTACACTGTGAATAAAAAGGGTCCTTAAAAGGCGTCAAGTTGCTTAAAAACTACATCTTCGATGCACAATGTAGTTATTCGAGGTGCATTTCTAATTATTCTTTTAGCTAAATGCCAGTTAGATATCTGCATGTCTTGGAAACGCACCTCTTAGTTGTTACATTTTCTGCTGAAAAGACTCGATTAGATACCTTTAACACAACAGTTAGTTGTGAGGCACTAGCTATCGTTAAAATGTGCAGTCAACTCTAACTCATCAGCCGGATATGTAACTATATTCATGTCACCAAAAGTACATCAATATACTAGGCAGAAATTTTAACATGCGCCGCTAAAAGACCTATTAACAAAGATAGGAAAAGTAATGTGTTTTGAAAATGGTCGACAGCTCGTTAATGGCGCTTCTTTATCGCCATATTTTGACTTAGATCGATAATATAAAGAACAGTGAAAATGTTAAGATAAAGAAAACAAATTTCTTCCGTTTTCAGGGTCGGGGTTCATCAGACTCATTGTTCGACTGTAACTCCAACTGTTAAGCCATTTCTGTAGTAATAAATGAAATCAAATTATAACTTTATAAATAGGAAAATGATCGCAGAATGGCTTAAAAATAGTCAAAAAATTATCTTAAAACGACCACCATTAACTGGCTGTTTTTACAGCGTGAAAAAATTATCACTTCTACGCAGGCCGTTCCGATAATCCAAAAATGGCCGTGGGGTAAACCTCCAGAAATTTATGCATTAAGTTCATATTAACTGCAATTATTTGTCTCATTAGAGAAGAATCATTACTTCTATCCTTCATATTGTATGTTTGCATGAGTACATCTTTTATGACCTTGTCAGTTTACTCAAAACACTACGGAATAGAAGAAAAGAAAGCAACATCATCTCTACTGGATACATTTCGATACTGTCATAAAAACTCTCCATACCATTTTGATGTTAAAATTAATAACTGTTTTAAAAGTAATTCTCTGATCATGACAGCTTCTTTTGAGCACAATTTAGTAAGATCATAGTACCTGTTTGATGAGCTTTTAATTAATAATAAATAATGAAAAATAGTGAATTAAAGAGTTTAAATTAAAATTTTACCACAACAATTAGCTGATGCAATCTATTATACCTCTGTCACGTGACAACCTCACGTCTGTCCGCCAGAGCAACTATCTCGTGAATAGAAAACCTCTAGCTCTTTTGAAATGTCCACAACTTCCCGTAGAAACAACGATCGACCATTACGTCCACAAAACTTATAAAAGAAAACGCTTCTACATTTCACTTACAAAGAGTCGAATCTTTTTCATACTATAAGAAAATCGAATAGGTCAATGTTAGGAAGACTCACGCTAAAGAACAGTTAAACGTATATGTATAGTTTAAAAATCAAACATCGTGGTTTCCACGAAGCTTTTTCGTATTTTTCTATAACTCTTAGAGGAAGAAGGATGCACAAAACCATGGGTGGATAAGCTAGAAATCATTGACCTACAAGTCTCGACTTTTCTCTACCAGACAAGAACAAGAAACGTATTAGAGGATTGCTAGGAACATACTATATCACTTAGCTTCACGAAATGGTTATATGAGATGTTTGACGCCTCTTTCCCTTTCTGAATTTCTCAGAAACATTTTTTCCCAGATTTTTTGCAAGCACATGAGTTGTGTACAAATCTCATGCTGATCATGAATATGATCTTTAAAATTTACAAATTGAGTTGTCGTTGAGAAAAATGAATTTCACCGCCAGAAGTCACTACCATGCTTGTTTCAGTTTTTGAGTTATAATAAGTCAAAAAAACTTAATAATATAGTGTTTTTTTTTAAAAATTTCAACATCGAGATAATTAAACATACAATTTTAAACATTCCCTTGCGAGCTTTCGAAGCTTCTCGCTTCGTCATTAGGCAAATTTATTCGATATTTATAACTGTATACAGCCAGTTTTTTTTATATATATCTGGTGACCCAGATAAAATCGGACAATTTCATTCGTTGTTTTTGAGACACTGCCCAGTAGTCCTAAGAGTTTGTTCTAATCTCAACCGATAGACAATTGAATTCTCTACAAAACCTGCTATTTGAATCTCTGACAGCACTTTTCTCGTTTGAGCAACATTGAAGATATTGGTAAAAAAAAGGGTGCTGAGTTGTTAGATTGCGACAAGCTTTTGTCATCTTCTTTTTGAGATTTTCAGCCCGTTGTCTGAATTTCTAAGGTTTTTTTGGATTTGTCAGTTTTTTACACAGAGAAATTTTCCTAGAAGATTTAACTGTAAAATTTCGAAAAATATGTGAGAAGATGCAGAATTTTCCGGTAAATCTTCTGATTTTTTCGAAATTTTTATTGAATCTGTTTTTCGATCGAGACAAATATTTTCTATTTTCAGTATGTCGCAGTTAGGCAACTCGGTACGCTTCAATATTTTGAATGATGCTCAAACGAGAAAAATGCTATCAGAGATTCAAATAGCAGGTTTTGTAGAGAATTCAATTCTCTATCGATTGAGGTTAGAACAAACGCTTAGAACTACTGGGCAGTGCCTCAAAAACAACGAATGAAATTGTCCGATTTTATCTGGGCTACCCGATATACACGTATAACATGAGCGACTCGTGAAGTTTTGTAATACATGAATAACAGTTCAGAATGTGAAAAAAGCATGTCACCGAAACAAAGGAAAATAAAGTTGGTTTTGAGTTGCTGAAAAGTGCTTTTTCGTATTCAGCACACTCGATAACCCAGAAGATTTCCCATTTTTAGCGATGAGTACTTCCAAAAGTTTAGGAAAAATTTTAAAACAAAATGGCGCAAAAATATTTCCTTGGAAAATAATATTAGTTTGAAAACTTTTTCTAAAATTTTGGAAGTACCCCTAGCCAAAATTAGAAAATCTTCTGGGTTATCGAGTGTGCTGAATACGAAAAAGCACTTTTCAGCAACTCAAAACCAACTTTATTTTTTTTCCGGTGATATGATGTTTGCTCTTTCAGAATACATACTTCGATAAACGAAGCAAATACTATCTAAATATCGATACTGTACGTGATTACTCATAAAACGTATCTTTTTCTGTTAATTTGTTTCGCTTGATCGATAGAGTTTATCAGGTTACATCGACAGCAGAAGCTTCTCATTGGTTTGAGCTTTTCTAGGAGTACAGCTGAAAAAATACGAACGCATCCAAGAGTGTTTTTTCTACTGATGCTATGTCAAAAGTTGAAATATACACGCTGGTGATCTAGTTTGGTGAGGTTCCATTTTTTTCTAAGAAACCTCAACTTTTTCACTTTTAAAGGTGGCATTCATGATTAGTATAAAAAATTCTGTATCTGCCATAGTTTTGCAAAAATCTTAGAAAACAATTTTCCAGATATCTTGTGAGGTATTAACGCTTGTATCAAAAATTTCATGTAGCACTTTCAGAAACTAAGTGATGAGAAATGGTTCAGAGGTCACTCTAATACATTTTTAATCGAAAAACATGAAATTGATCTGGTGAAGATTTTCTAGTTTATATGCTCCCGCCCTTTGTTTTCATTTTTTTACCATGTAGAGAGAGAACCGAGGGTAAATTAAAAGTGTTGAGGTAGGTTTTGCATGCTTTTTCTTTGTACAGCTGTAAATTCTTTTTTTCGTTATTTTTATACTGAGACGAGGTCAAAGTACTGTAACGCTCCCAAAACAATTCGAGCTCCATTTGCCGAACATGTGCAAAATATGTCTAGAGATATATCAATGTTCTAAAACAATCACCTGTTTTAAAAGAAACGCTGTTATAGTTACAACTATCAAACAAAACTATGGTTTCAACGTCAAGTAGACAGTCGGTCTACAAAAAATTTTCACTGGACTTGTACTGAACAGTATAGAAAAAGAAAACTGTAAATAACAAAGAGAAGTTTATTGTACCGGAAAAAATGTGAAACTGAGAATCGCGAGTTCGAGAAGAGTAATTTTGTTACTGGAGAGAATACTGAGATTTTTAAATGTTATTCTACATTATATGCATGACCAACGGATTCAATGTGATCTTCATCAATAATAAATTGCCAATTCTTTTGTGGTGAATCAACACCGGAAAACGGTGCACTTAAATCATCAAGTATTTCCACACGTTTAATTGATTTTAATACTTTTACAGTGGTATATCCGCCCGCGTCAACTGTTTCTTGAGGAGTTTTTATATAACTATTAGGTGGTATACTGACTATTTTTGTGCTCATTTCTAAACCATTGTTACAATTTTGATACTGATATTCAAGTAAAAGGGTGACAGGAGAAGCGGATTCGTTGATTAATACAGCTGTATAAACATCTTTTGGTGGTAATGCACGATAGCCAGTACCAATGACAGCTGAGATCGCTAGAAGTAAGAACAGAAGACTTGACTGGAGCACCATGTGATAGATAACAAAAATATGACCGAAGAAAATCTTAAATATAAATAAATGAAAAAAAGAGCACGACTCACATTAAAAATATGCAAATTGAAGAAAAGTATGTTCACACAAATTAGTCCGAGGCTGACTAAAAATATAACTTTGAATAATATGGTCCAGTAACAAACGAGTGTTAAAGTGAACAAGGGATGAGTTAGTTTATCATTCAAAATAAATGCACACAGAATTCATTTTTTCAATGTTTTCACTTTGCTATGCAGTTTAATACTCATGGCCAACAGTAACGTGCTCTCTAATATGGGTTAAACATGTTCTCTCGTTTCACTGATTAAAAAAAAACCTAGAGATGCACAACAAAATTATTAGAAACGGTTCAGTAAACTTGCTTTTTAGTAAAGTTGTAAGAATTCAACTTAAAATACAAATTTGGTGAGTTTTAGTATAACTTGGTTATTGATTACGAAAGCATTACACCTTTGATGCTTACAACTACTGTTAATATCAATATTGTAATCATGAACGTTGGATTATTTTCCTACTTTTATTAGTAAAAGTACACAACAAAAATCACTTCTAACAAGAGAAAAACAACTTAATTTCTAAGCTGAATTATGTTTTGTTTTTCTGTTTCAGTGATTACAACGAAAAACCAAAACAAAAGACACATGCAGTACGAGCCCGTTACTGATGAACGTTTTTAAAGGAAAAGAAAACTTTCTTTTGGTACACTGGCATAAAATTTATCCTAGATGTTTACTGTTTATTTTTATTCTTAAAAACAATCGTTATCCTATTTTTTAACAAATTGTTGTAATTTTTCTAACAAATTAATGTATTGTTTATGTTCGTGTGCTGTTGAATAATCCATTAATTGATTAGCAAATTCTTCACCAATGCCTCTTTCTTCCAAAACATTCAATAATTTATCATACAATTCACCATCAATCACTGAACAATCAGCACTATACGTTGAATCTGTCCATTCACCATCGTGTATAGCAAATTCATCAATTTGAAAATCTTCTGCGATTAATTTCATATCATCGTCATCTTCACTTTGTTCACCAGGATTTCTATTGCGAGCAATTGCCGCTGAATCAGGATATTCATCGGGCAAGTATGAACATAAAAATGATAATGTTTGACTACCACGATTGACATCAACAGTAAATACTGGGCGTGATTTTAACTGAGATGATGACGTTGATTCAGCTGCTTCTGGAGCAGCATTACCGGATATCTCGTGTTCTTGACCATCACTATGTTCATCATTACCAGCATTAACCGTGTTTGTTACATTGAATTTAACAGTTATTTTCTCATTACCCTCCGTTTTTAATAATGTCACTTCTGGACCTTCAGTTTTCACCTAAAATGAAGCACATTGAAATCATATTATTTTGCGATTAATTCTATAAGAAAGGAAGCAGCATTTCTATGGAAAACTTGTACTATAGTTGTGTTTCATCAGGTTGGAACAAATCATTTTAACATAAGAATTAAAGAATTAAATTCTAGAACTGTCTTTTATAAAATTTAATAAATAAGAAAGAAAATGAATTCTCTTATAAGGTCTAATAAGTTTTTTCCTTCTCAAAATAGTTGATTTCTCGTTGTTGTACATATTTTTAGTAGCGGCAGTTACCCCGAAAAAGTAATGAACTACAAAGTGTCATAGCTTTGGCGCCTAATCAGTCGACTATGTCAAGTATAGTTTGCTCAACAAAAACAGATAATGTAACAACTGGTGATTAGCTCAGATGAGAGGTCGAGAAAGGGTAGAGACATGCAACGATTCCAAACCAGAATTCAGTTGCTTGCATACACTAACGTTCAGGATTCCTACTCGTAAAAGACTTGTTAACGCCCATCTCACGTATCGTCAGTTAAATATTTGTCTGATGATGATCTTAGTACAGATTACATGTTTTACATTTATCTATGTTATGTTTATTTGTTAAACAAATTAAATAAACATAATATTTTGTGCAGTTCTGTACTATGTTTACTTATGCCTTTTTAATATTGCAATTTTAGCCCATCTCACTCATTTAGCTTGTTATTGCTTACCTCAAATCCTTCAATTTTTGGCATTTTACTTGGATGTTTTTGTGCTTGTTTCTCTAGTTTTATCTCTTTATCCAGGAATGCATTCAAATCTTGATAAGCATTATTATGCGCTTTCACTGTATTACTCATCGAACGTGCTATCATACATCTCATAAATGATTGCTGTTTTTGATGAAATAATGTATTATATCTGTTGTAAACTTCTGCGTTTACTGAATAATTACGATGCGTCAATGCTGTTGATAATGTTGATGTTCTTGTACGTTGAGCTAATTGAACAAATGAACGCGTTATACTTCGAAAAGCCATCACGATTTAAAAACTACAGTTCTCTATCTGCAACAAAACAGAATTTTCATTAGTCAAGTGTCGTTTATAAACGAACGAAATACATTACAAAATGAACGTATTTAAAAGCCAATCATCTTATCTCAATTCAACATAATTCAAAACAAATATAGTAAAAGCAAAAATGTATAACAGTTAACTAACTGGAGAAGTCAGTTGATCGGTAGTTCTTTTGTTGAAATAAATTTTTGAAGATCATTATCGTTTAATGCGTTTAAATCATAAGTACCACTTGAACTCATGATTAGAGTAGCCAGATCACAGTCGCAGATCTAGCACTACCGTCGCCCCCTCACAAATGGAATTCGAATGCAAGTACACTACCAGTCTTCCTTAGAAAAAATATTCATACTACTTCGGACGACATCGTTTAGAAATTGCCACCCCGTCGGTAGACTCCTGGATCCGCTCGTGTCAGATCCTCAGGTCAGAAACGCAGAAAAAAAATGGAAACGTATTTTCATGCTCTAACTTCATTCGTTTTCACGCGCAGTGAGTCAAAAATATGTTTTCTCTAGCACTTTTCAATAAAACACAAGAGAATAACAAACAGAAATGTAAATCTTGATTTTAATCGACACGTTGTTTTTTGCCTGTATATTCTTAATTAGAATGAATGAGTTCAAGCAGTTCTGGCGTTGGTAAGAAATAATTATAAATTTCAGTGCATGATAAGGAGGAATTTAAACAAATTTTTAACTCGGGCGAAAAACAAAAGCAGAAAATCCTTAAAATGCGAAATAATTGTGGAAAAAACTCAAAAATTCAGAATTTGTCCGCAAAATGCGGATCATCTGACAACTCTGTTCATACACTGTAAATTCGTGTTCCATATAAACGGGTGACACTTTCACCCACTTATGTGTGTCATCATCCATCAAAGTGGGTGATTTTCCTTTGTTTATCACTCATCACCCACTTTAGCAGTTCAAAAGTGTTATCCTGCTGGGTGACCGGTAATCC